ACAACAAGTGAAGCCCTAGATGTGTTCACAATGCAAATGCTTAGCACATAATGGAATACATGTAAGTAAATACTAGTAAAGAAACTATACACTCTTAACTGGTGGACGAAGAATCTCTGTACAATAAAATAAATGAAAATTGAAAGAAGACTGAATATTCCAACAACTGCTTTAGAATCACTTAGAAAGGAAAGAGCAATCTACAAAAGAATGATCATCAGAGCTAAGATACAAAGCTAGAGAAACTTCTGCTGCACTAAAGACATGCTTGGCATTTTGCACAAGATTGCTACTAACAAGGTCTATAAACCTATGCAATTCTTTCTTCAAGAAACTGCATGGAGAAATAATGCCACAAATGACATGACAAAAACACTCACAAAATACACAACAACATCCTGTGTGCATTCTTCTCAGTGGACTATCCTTCAGAAAACACTACAAAGCAAGAGCACATCCATGCAAACAAAACAGTAGACAGCAGTGCAGATGATTAAGAATTCACTAGAGAAGAAATACAACAGATCTTCAAAAACCTTTTTTTAAAGAAAGCATCTAGCCCAGATGGTATAAATTACCATATTTGATGGCATATAAGACGAACTTTTTTTTCCTAAATTTGGTCTCAAAAAAGTTACCTGCATCTTATACGTGAAGGACACAGGTTAACTTTCAATACTGAATGCTATTTTTAGCCCGGATAAAGGTCTAGACACACATACCTTCTTCTACATCTGCCATAATTATTTTGCGCATGTGTGCTATCTTTTGCCAAAGCGCCAAGCTCGAGCTGATGTCGAAGTTCAAACAGTTTGCCGGTCAATTTCGTCTATGGAGACTTTCCTTCTTTACATAGACTTTCTTTGACTCAGCCGCACACATGTCGGTATCGGTGCTACTCTGTATAAACGTGTCGGTATCGGCTTAAAATTATTTGTTTAAAAAATACCCTGGAAAATATGACTACAGGAAACAAGAGATTAAGCTATACAATTCAGTATAAACTAGGAGTGTTAAACTATGCCAAAATGCATGGAAACAGAGCAGCAGCAAGGTATTTTCTTCCACCACCTACCGAAAAAATGATACGTACTTGGCAACTGCAGGTAGATCAACTGAAGACTGCTAAAAACAAAAACATAACCTTCTATGCCCAGCTCCATCTTGGCCTGAACTTGAAAATGCCGTAAAAACGTAGGTGATAGATAAGAGGAAATCTGGGATAAGTGTTTCAACCAAAATGATAATCAATGAGGCCAAAGGATTTGCAAAAAACGTGGGAATCAGAACTTTTCAGAGTCTCAGGGCTGGTGCTACAGGTTCATGAAAAGGCAAGGCTTATCAATGCACACAAAAACAATTATTGCACAGAAAATGCCAGCAGATTATGAAGAAAAAATACTAGCATTTCATAGGTTTGTTATAAATGCACGCAAAAAAACTTCTTTTGAGCTCGGTCAAATAGAAAATATGAATCAAAGATAAAGATACCACATTTTAAGTTATTGTGGTAACGCACTGTCACACGGACTATTGAAACTTTTTTTCCTTGTGTGTGGCCTTCTAAATGAGGGTGTGTCTTATATGCCATCAAATACGGTATGTGATAGTCAAAATTATTTATAAACGTTTTCCAATTTTCTTCAATAAGCTTTTGCATTTTAGCCTCTTCCTCACTGATTTCAAAGTCAGGCAAGTCATATTCTTTCTTAAACACAATGAAGATAATAGTAGCCCGGATGCCTACAGTCCAATATGCCTGCTTTCAGCACTGAAAAAAGTACATGAAAAACTTCTAATCAACTGTCTGAAGCATCACCTACACAAAGGCAACACAATCAGTGAACGCCAATACAGCTTTAGAGAGGGAAAACTACCACACATGCACTCATGACTCAGCCTTGACACTTTGTCGTGGCCAGTTATTACAAATGCACTAAAACAAACAAGATGCCTAGCAAACATATCAAGCTTTCACCAGTTAACTCTCGAGCTGTGAGCAGATCATCATGCATAACACTGGCATCATACAACGTAAACAGACATGAGGATGCCCACAAGAATCATATGCTTGTTAAATCGTATGGAATCTGATCTTCAATAGCATATTAACTACTACCTAGCCTAAGCACACACAAGTAATAGCTTATGCAGGTGATGTCGCCTTCATAGCCCAGGGAAATCCAGAAATGAGCTGAAGGAACATGGAACTTGGATCTCTCAGCAGTTCCATAATCTCTGCAGTGCTTTGAAATTGACCATCTCAGACAGCAAATCCAAGGCCCTTATAATTCTGAAAAAGGGAATCACGAACAACATTAGTCCAGGAATCACAATCAATAGTAGCAGGACTAAAATCATGAAAGAATTGAAATACCTGGGCCTTACGTGAGATCAAATATTGACTTAAATTTCTCGCATTAAGGAACACAAGTTCCAAGGAAACAACTGAGGACTAAATTTGCACATTCAAAAAGACTCTCTGCTCAACTGTCATAGTTATATATGCTGCTCCAGTCTGGGCCCAACCAATGAAACATCTTCTCAGTGTCAAGTACCCATTTATGCCAAACATCACAAGGGCATTTAGCCCATAGCAACTGCATCAGTTAATGTTCTGGCAAGTTATAACACCACTGCATAATCAAGTTCAGCAAGAACCAGTAATCCTATCAGTCTTTCACCTTCACACTCCCACAAGCTTCTTTGATGAGTGGCATTATCCAAACAATTCTGAAATGTCATTGATGGCGCTAATGTTCAGCCAAGACTTCAAAGGCAAGGAGTAGATATACATCTGCACCATCATAACATTCCCAGAAACAATACTCTAATTCTAAACATGGATGGCCCATATAAGAAAGACAAAGTTAGCAGCACATTATTTTTTTTTGGGGGGGGGAGGCTTAATAGGAACAGTACCTAGAGTAAGAATTTAATATTCACCCAGTTTGTTTCTAGATGCTTAACTTTCTATACTACTACTGTATTTCAATATCATGAAATATACATTTATAAATTTGTAAAATCTGTAAAGTGCTGTTTTTGTAAAGTGTATTTTTAATGTATACTATTGCAAATGTATATTCTGCTGTAAAGTAACTTGAGTATCAGAAATAATGTAATAATTATGCAATTATGAACCGAGCCTCATTGGCTACAATATCTTACAATGTTATTTGATGTATCTCCTAATACTATAAAGTGCTACTGATAAAAAGCAAATCTCGCACACATATACACATGTATATATAGTATATAAAGGGAAATATATATATATAATTTAAAGTAAAGTAGGAAGAACAAACAATAAAAGACCTATGTGGTAAAAAATTTTGCGCATTGCGCTGCAAAATTAAGGAAATTAGAAGATAAATTTTAGAATGCATGCTAAAAAGTTGCGAAAAGCTGTGGCTCCGCGAAAACTTCAACATAAGTAAATTTAGTTGCAATGAAATGTGTTAAAAGAGAAATATACAACATTTGAATATTTACATGTAAAAATTAACAAAAAGTAAGCTATATGTTAAACTAATTATGTACATTTAAAACATAGTAAAAGTACTAATCAATTGATTGAGGTAAAAATAAAAATAAAATAAAATTAAGAAGTGGTAAATGGCTGATTAGCCCAATTCGAAGTTCATTTTGGCATGTCAGGAAATTTTTTCAATGAAAAAATGTATATATATAAATATACATACAAATATCCTTTTATATATATACATAAAAGGAAGTTTTTTCCCTTGCAAATTTATGTTAAAACACTCTCAAAAATCAAAATGTTTCAATTAATGTTTTTAAATATAGAGCATTGCACTCAATGTAGCTCATAAGGAATATTAGGTTTCCAATTTTCAATCCTGCAGAAAAAAACAAATTCCTTACCATTGCCGTAAATAACATGCTGCAAGACAGCGAATCTGGTGTCAGTAAGACCTATGATCCATCTTGTGAAAACTGTGGGTAGTGCTAAAAGTAATAGCTTATACTGACTGTAAATAATGGCTGTTATTTAAAAAATGTACTAATTGTTCCAATGGCTCAGAAATGCACGTTTATGTAGTATTACACTTGTCAATCCATAAAATTCCGTTAAAATATCCAGAAATATCTCAAAATACTATATGTAATATATATCATTCAGCAGTCAGAGTTATAACTATCTGAAGTATTTCAAAGGATTCATGAGGAGTAAATGGAGTAACTAGATGTGGTCTCTAGACAGATTATCACTTTACCAGACAGAAGGAAGCCAAATATTCTAAAAGTGTATAAATATATTAAAACACTGTGGAATCAAGTAGCACATAAAACTGTCATGAAATCACTTGAGAAATGTGGCATTAGTAATGATCTTAATGACTACAAGAGAAATTAACTACTTAAAGAATACTAGGCCAGTCAGTTTCTAAGAGTGAAGATAATGATGAGTAAAATACTCAAAGGTAAATAAATGCTTATTCATGATTATACATTTTTACAGTATTCTTCATTTTCCCACTTAAAAGCATTTTAAACAAAATTAATGTGAAAATAACAATACTTTGTTTCATAAATACAATACATTAGCAACTTAAAAAAGGGGGGGGAGAGAGAAAGAGAAAAATATTAGTCCCAAAACAAAATTAAGATCAAATTTAGTTATATTTAATGCCACTAATTTCATATTTCTTTGAAATTTAGAACTAAAATACAAAATGTTAAATTGCAATTTCTCTACAAATGTCAAAATATTTCATGTATGATTTAAGCTTAAATCCCTCTCCCCTGTAATGTTTGCTGATTTTATGCAGTAAGACTTAAAAATGTTTGCTTGTGTAAGTGCAAAAACAAAGCCAAAATCATACAATTTATTCATAAGATTATTGCCTTACCAATAATATCCTAAGAGAGAAAAAAAGGCTATACAGTACTGATATATTAAAAGCCCAAACAAAAATACTGAGCTTTGCTTGCATAAAGACATAAGTGATGGGAGGAGAAAAAAGATTACTTACTCTTCACAACTTTTTATAGAAAGTATACTGTTATGAAGCGCATTAGCAGCTTGCAAAATAAAACTATTATTCTGCAAATATTCATTTCGAATCTTAGCAGAAGAGTACATTCCAGCCAGAATTGTCTGTTTAAGATTCTCAGAGAACATATCTGAAATACAGTTATTTTATTATGCACAATGTTATATTTATATAATATATAGATTAAACACTCAAGTTATACCTACACAATATTACTGGTTCACAATACATTAAAAATTCTTAAAAATTCATAAAATAGCTAATAATAAATTGATAATACCATTATTTTCAAATTAAAAATATTAATTTAATATCACATTATTTTTGTAAAGGTCTTTTTAAAAATAAGTAAATACTGAATTAATTTTTTATAGTTACCACACTGCATCAAGACTTAGTTTGGATTGAATATGGCAAAGCATATTAAGGCTGCCTGCTAAAGGAAGTGATGACTTTGTGAAAGGCTTTCTGTGGGAAGTTAGCTTGTATTTATATTACATATGGAGAAAGCGATAAAAACACCTGTGCAGCCAGCCTATCTGCCAGGATTTGAATCCAGGTTAAACTATCTGCATTCAGGGATCTTAACCTTTAAGAGACTGGGGAGTTTGGAAAGGTTTCACTTAAAAGACGGGAAATCCAAATGCATTTCCATCCCCTTTTAGCTGCCATTGTAAAGGGAAATTAGTATTCTTTCGCAACTTTTCCTTTAGGTCACCTTTGGGGGTCTCCTTTGTTAATTTTCAGATGAGATTAGGGAATAATATAAAGGAATTTGTTGAATTTGTTTGTTGAATTGTTTCTTTTCCCTAAACTAAGGAAACATATGATGGTGAGATTTCGTAGCTAAATAATTGCTGTATGTTGGAATATTAACTTTTGACATTGCGTCATAATGAAAATACGCCTCAGCAGCAAATGCACACCTATAATCAATCCATAGTCTATTCAAGTTTTTATTAGTTTCCAAACTGAATTTAGTTTAGAATTACATGTACTAATTAACATTTTTAATTTATACTCGAAAATGATGTTTAACTATTTGTTTCTTGTATAAATCAGCAGTTCGCTTTTATTTGTTTACAAGAATTGTGTAACAGCTTATATTTATATATTAAACAAATCCCATTGTATTTCTTTATATTATATTAGTTTCTTTTACCTTTTTCATTAGTATTCTTATTCATTTTAATTTATTGATTCCCCCCCCCCATTGTATGTAAGTTATTTTCATTTTTCAACTACATTATTGTTCATTGTTCTTTCTTGCAGTTTGTTTAAGCTTTTTTATCCTTTAGCATTTTTTTTTTTTTTTTTTTTTTTTTTTTTTTTTTTTTAATTGTTTTTCTTTACTTTGAAAATAGATTTTATTGATTATATTTTCACTGCAGTGCACTCCAATGCATTTTGCATGTTTCAAACAGCAATATTAAATACAAAAATTACAATAAAAAGGGGAATACAAAGAAAAATATATATTTTTAATGACACTGAAAAATTGGTGAAATTAATACTAATGTAAAATTTCAAGTGGATTTATAAACTTTATTTATTTATACAGACCTATCAGAGTTCAAAAGGTAAATTCGATGAACACTGATAGTTAGGTTCGGTTCACATTTCGGTAAACTAGCTGGCGTCATGTGTAACATGAGTACCAACTAATTTCCTTTAAAAAGTCCTCCATGAAGTCCCTTCTTCCTTTGGCAGATAGCCCTTTGTGCTTTAGTCGTAATCCAAATATTTCCACTTTTATTTATATATGCGTATAAAGACTGGAAGAAAGTATAAACAGAAAATAATCCTGCCAAAATATTGATGCTGTTATGCAGATCACTTCTGCAGCTCATATATTCATTATGCACAAGAATGTGAGGAATACTGAAATTACAAATGTTATTAAAATAACATTTCTCATCATTACTTTACCGTAGTGATGACAATTTCATTCTTTATTTAAAAAAAGGCTTATGCCGAAAATTAATTCTGTCTCTCGGTAAAATATTAGGCACTCTTCATGAAGGTGTTTTAAGGGAAAGTGCCTTGTATGCACGTAACGTAAGAAGAAAATATCGAAAACGCCTATGCAGCCAGCTCTTTCGCCGGGGCCCCAATCCCGGAATAAAATACCAGTATTCAGCGGCTTTTATCACTCGGCCACTGATGGGCCTTTGTTAAAGACTTTCTGTGTGAAACTGGCCCATGCATTTCTTGTTCATGTGTACATGAAAGAAATAGCAGAAGCTTTATTTAGATGAAACAGAGAATAGAACCTTCGAGAAACATAAGTGTATATCGACTTCACTGATATGCCATTATGCGACATTCAATTGACCGAAGGTGTGATCTGACTGTTATCAGTACGGGAATATGGGTATAATTTTCTTATAAGAAAGAAGTTAAAACAAAAAGCTACATATGTATCTATATTTTAATTAATATTTATTTTAATTATCTAAGAAACAAAGAGTAAGGTTACGTGAACATTGCAAAGCACACAGAAGGAAATGCTTTTGTGGATTAGGGAAACTGGTTCGTAGGTTAAAGTGGAGGAAAACAGGCATGCAGCCAGCCCGTTTGTTGAGGTTCGAGTTGAACTGCCAGTGTTCAGTGATATTAACCACTCGACCGCTGATAGACTATATATACACATATATATAATCAGCATGCATATTTGGCATATACACACGCATGTAATATGTACATTATACATATATGTGTTTCTATATATATATATTATACATGCATATATGTATGTATATAAGTGCATTATATGTGTACATATATGTACATAATTACATTTACATATGCATATATATGTCTATATGTATGTGAATGTAAATATTGAATTTAACAAACATTCTCTATTCGTAAAAAGCAAATTTAAAGTTAATAAATTTAAATGAAATTTAATGCAAACAAATAAATGATTAATTATTGTTGCGAACTAATCTACAATATCATTTAAATTCTGAGACAGTATTCAGTATGTATGTAAGGTGTGCAGGTGTATACATTGATTGAATATAGATGAACCTTATTTTCAAATTTCAGCCTAAAAATAGGCCTTTTTTTCCTTTTCTTGTTTGTTTCAAATTTGTATATTTGATATGATAACTGCACTAGAATTAAATTTGTATATATGTCTCAAGTCTGCTAGTGTGATAAATTTCAAAACAATTTATACATAGTCCAACATCACATTTCTTGCAAGAAACTGAAGTTCTTTTCTCAATTCCGTTTTTATTGCAAATACACAATGTCTCTGAACTTTCATTTGAAATGGCCAGTGTTGGTTGTGATTGTTCGTTGAAAGTTTCCATTTAACAGATTGTGGAATTCTAGGCGAGGAACCTTTGGTTCTTCATCCAAACTTTTCTAAACCATTTGATGAATTAGATTCTGTCTAAAATTTTTATGTTTTAGCACAGAATTTTTCATTTTGAACAAAATGAAAGCATTCAAAATGGACAGGTCTCATAAGTGAAAAAATAATTTTTTTGTCCATTTCAGAATTTTCTGCCCAAATGTGTAACTATTAGCCATTCGGTCACCGAGATCTACATAACCCATATTGGCATTGTAACAAGCTATTACATCTAGCTTTTCGGCTCCAGTTTCTATTTGTCTGGATGGATTATGCATGTTGATCAGCATAAAAACCTCTCGCTTATCCTTCCAGCATGTAGCTACCATACCCTGAGAAAATTATTCTCTGCATTCACCTTTTTCCATTCATGGAGAGGCCAGAATCTTCGGATAATATTTTCGATTTGATTGACCTAACGTACCACAGCTGTTTATTTTATACTTACGGTGAAGTTCAAGAAACAATTGTGGGGATGAAAAGAAATTATCCATAAAAAGTTTATGTTTTTTTAACGCATTCAACAAGTCCAGTGACAGTTCGATGTGAAGAAAATTTTTCTCCGCCTAAAACCTTATCCTTTCCCCAAATACACACGCATGTTGAACGCATTTTTATCTGCAAGTTTGTAGACTTTAATACTGAAACATTTTTTTTTTTCGGGATGTACTGGCGAAAGATTACTCAGTCTTTAAAAGCAACAATAACTTCAACCGCAAGTTCTTCTGTAGGGTCATATACTTCTTTGAAGCGAGAATTTAATATTTCAAAGACATTCCGAATCTTCCACATGCGGTCATACTCGGGATCTTCTTTATTCGGTGCTAATTTATTATCAGAAAAGTAAAGAAATTGAAGAATGTTTAGATATCGATCTCTTGCCATGGCTTTTCAAAAAAATGGGATTTTGATCATCTCATCAGTTGACCAGTAGTCTTTTAAGCTATCTTTATCGATGTGCTCCATAAGCAGAGCTAAAAATTTCCTTAGCTCCGATGCACTCACATTTTTCCATTTCGCACAATGAGCTTTTTTAGAAACTCTTTCAGTTAACTTGAAAAACTGCTTGGCATATTTATTTGTTTTGAATGTTATAAAAGCGTAAATGCATTTGAAATATGCATTCGAAAAAATCAATTTCCTTATTGCATTCTGTAGCATTTCCTTTTAATGTGTTGATTCCTTTAAATGAATAGGTATCCGTTTTCATCGAAATATCAGGATCAACCCAATTTATGTCTGTCTTCCAAATGAAATTCATTTATATTTTTTTCTTTGTCTGCAACATCTTCGAAAACAGACTGAAATTCCATAAAGGAAGACACCGCTTTTCCTTCATCATTATGAATTTCACATTCGAAATCACTGTCACCAAAAGCTTCATTTTCAAGATCTTGAAGCAATTTCTCGATTTCTACTTAAGCCTTTTTTTCTTCTATACATAGTGAAAGTAAAGCACAGCCAAGTATTAGTGCAGAGTTCTAGAGAGCAAGTGAATCATGCGAAACCAAAGAACATATAGGAAGAACAGATATTCTTTGACACAACTGAAAGATTTTGCCCCGAGCTAAGATTTCACTGCTGAGGGAAACGAAAGGGAATTTACGAAACTCCACAATTGGGAGGCGCGAAGTTCATCTCGCATAAGTGGCAAGGGAGGTTATTTGGACAATGACTATCTCTGCCCCCTGAAGGATGAAAGGGAATTCTCTGGCCGATATTTCGGCCACAGCCATCTTTTTGAGACACTGCAGCTCTGGCCGAGTCTTAGGTCACCCATCTTTTAAGCATTAACCATGTGGCCACTCATGGATACCAAACTGGATCAAATTCTTTTTTCCAGAACTTCAAGTTTGCTTCTCCAAACTGGCTCTTAATCAAGAACAAAATTTCTTAAAATCAACTGATATTGATAAAAGTGTTTCGCCTTAAACTGTTTGTTAACTGTTTCACCACGCAGTTTAAAAAATTCTCATCTCTACGTATAAAAGAGAACAATCTCATTTTAAGAAATTATAAGAATTATGTTGTCATTGCTTTCTTTCTATCAATTAGCTATAAAATCGCAAGCATTTTGCAGAATTAAAACTTTGGGTTGTTTTCTCTTCTGTTAATAAAATTTGCAGTTCCATAATTAAGGACTCAATTCTGGATATGAACTCCTGAGGTATATACAGAATTTCTTGCCAATGTGAATTAATTTACATAGGTCAAACTAAGAAAACCTTAAAGTTTCATGCTAAGGAACATGATGCATATGTTAGGAACAAAGAAACACATCAATCCTCTGTTGCCCAACACTGTTGGTCAGAAAGTCACATTTTCTATTTTTTCTGCAGCCATAATTATTCAAAAACATCTTCGATTGAGGAATTAGATTTTCTAGAGGTGTTCCATATTCATAAAAGTCTTTAAGTTCTAGTTAATGATTCCAATTCTAATCTATCTTTACCATCAGTTTCAAGGAAATTATATCTCAGGTGTTTCCATTATTCATCAATAGATGAGGCAGCAACTTGACTTTCTTCCTCTCCTTATCGCCTGATTATTGGTTTCTTTTTCATCATTTGCCCTTCTGCAGTTGAAGAAAAAAGTTCTATATTTCAATCTTTGACACCAGCCCTGAAAATTTATGAATATTATTATGCTGATTTTTATTGCTTTGACTCCTCCAATAATCATTATTCTGCATGCTATTTTAACTCAAATAGACCATATTATCATTGATAACATACTTATGTACAATACTCTTACATCTACAATAGCTGGTAGAAACAATATGACAGTCAAAAATTTTAAATAATCATATTAGTTCTGAAATGTTTGAATTTAGATTTCACCTTGGACAACCACTGTAACCTAATAGTTCAGCTAATGCAATAACTGAACCTACAATGTAGAAATTACAATCTTAGCCGGTTTTAGGCATTTTAAGATAATTCAGCAATATACAATTATAGTCATGTAATTATTATGCAAATTTTTTATCATATTTTTGAATTATTTATGCAGTGTCTCATTCATGGATTGACACAACTTAAAAAATACAAATTTTGAGTTATATCTGTTCCGAACATTGTAAAATTGTCCTTTTTTTTTTTTTTAACCCCTGCAGGTAACACTGGCACATGACAATAGTGTCTTTGTAGCATTCTTTAGTTTGACACGTACACTATCTGCAATACTAACACTTCTCAGATGGCAACAGATGACTTGATACAAAGTACTTCACAGATCAGACATGGCATACTGGTTTATGGTAAATACTAAAAATGACACTGCATACTTCAGCAACATTTCTATATTGAAAGCAGAAAAACAAACATTGGATCACTTCTATAAGAAACAAGTTTATAAATTTTGAGTTATGTCTGTTTCCAACATTGTAAAACTGTCTCTTTCCCCCCCCCCTCAGGTAGCACTGGGACATGACAGTAGTGCCTCTGTAGCATTCTTTAGTTTGTCATGTACATTGGTTTATAAGACCTTTTTTAAATAAACAGATTTTACAACTGTTAGTGTGAAAGGCCTCCAGACAAGGAAAAGCTTGCAGTCCTTCAAGAAAGTGACTGTGAGAAAAAGCTTATAATACAGCTCTTGCAATATATAAGAAAACATTTTACGATCTACAAAGTTTAATTGCCATCAATCAATACCAAGCTATTATTTAGCATTTTACAGTAAACTAAAATTTGAATCATAAAAATAGGTTTTATTTCGAAACTTCCTTAAATATAAGATATTGGAAATAGTTTAGTTTGTTTTGATTAATAATGTAGCACTGAAAGATTAAAATTACTGAAAGATTTTATAATTGCGCAATCCATGTCAAACGGTGGTAAAATCATTAATAAAATTTAATTTCTTGTTTCTAAATTTTTTTGATTATTATGTCCCATGAATTTCAGCATAGTTCACAATGGGGGGAGGGGGGAATAATAAATAACAGTAACACAATGTAATAGGATGCAGTATTAAATAATATTAATTTTAAACATTTTATAATTATTATTTGAGCTCTTATGACGCTTTTCAGAAATGCTCACTTTTTAATCCATCAATTAAATGTGCGATTCCTGCATTTCAAAATGAAGAAAACCTTAACACATTTACTTGAAAAGTTCTTTTCTTGTGTGCAATTTACAGCCCTGACAATTTAATTCTTTACGCTAAAAATACTTTTTCATACAGGTGAAAATGGGTCATATGTGAAAAGAAAAAAAACTTAAATCTATATATATTAAAATTAATCTTACATTTACATTTTTTTAATCAACACTCCATGTAACATAGTTTTTAACAACTAGTTAAATACACAATACAGCTGTAACCTTAGTTACATATTATTCCTTCAGCCTTATTATAATATATTTAATTGTACATAATAGGGAATGAGAAATCAGAAAAAAAGAAATATTGATGACATTTTTTAAAACATTAAAAATAATAATAAATAAAAAAAATTTTAAATAAAATCTGAAAGGTTTCAGGTTTTAAATTACGTCAAAGGACTTTTAAACATTTTCTATTACCGTATTATTAATATCACGTTTTCGTCACTAAACCATAAATTCAGTTTAAGAGTATATCGCAAAGTTTAAATGGCATATCTTAGAATTCTAATCAAAGTCTCACACCTGAGAAAATGTTTTTTTTTTTTTTTTTTTTTTTTTTTTTTTCCCCCCCCCGTACACGTTGCTATTGCTCCTTGAATCTTGAGTTTTAATCAAAATTCGCAAGTTTGACAAATAGAAATCATAATAAAACAAATTCCAAATTTCGGGCTTCCACATGCCATATTCTAGGATTAATCATTCAAAAGAATGTTCTGTATGTGTTTTACATTGTGAAAACCATACATTTATGCAATTTTTCATTATTTAATTTCTTCAAATGTAATGCAGTACTCTAACATATAGTGGCAACAGTTTGAAAAGTAAAACGGGCATTTATAGGGAACCAATGCAAAATTGCAAAATGAAAACAACAGTCCTTCAGGGACAAAGCCCCTTTGGACTAATAAAGAAAGAAATATAAAAATATAAGGAAACAGCATCAGAACATAAAACGGGAGGGGGGGGAGGCCTTGTCTCTAAGCCTTATAACCAATCCTAATGATTGCTTTTAAATCAATTAGATGCATGAAGTTGAGAAACATGCAGTAGGATGAATGGAAAGAGTGTCAATCCATGTGTATTCACTGTAGGCTTTAATAAAAGATAGTTATCAGACTTAACATATGGGTAAAGGCACATAATTAAAATATTAAAAAAAATTTAAATTGCAGAATGTTTTTAAAACATAATAGTGTTGGGTTAATAGATATGAATAGATAGAAGATGCATTATTCTCATTAAAATATTGAGTTTCGTTGATTTTAAGAATGTAAGAGACACACTATTCAGCATGTTTATTTGCATACATTACATGCAAAACAAAGCTTATTTTGATTATATTTGCTTACCTGAATTTTTATGGTTGAATGCATTTATACTGATATGAAACAATAATAAAAGCAAATCATCTGCACTTGAAAACTTCCAACAATGCTGTCAAAAAATTTAATGCAAGAGCATATTATTAACTGGAAACAAATTTTTGAAACACATTATTTAAAATCCTAGAAGTTAATTAACCCCTTTGCGCCTACTGTCACGTCTACGTGCCAACAACGAACACACTCACTTCCCG